ACTTTTGTCTTTACGCGATTCATTCATGCATTGATCGACTTATGGCCGATCACGCCTGCCTTGGGTCTGGGTATCGTATCTTTTCTGGCACTTGTCAGCCGGCCGCGTGGCACGTGTTGCTGACTTTGTTGCTGTTGTTTATTTTTTTGATATTGCCTTTTTGTTCAGCTGCTGTTTTGTCGCTTACGATGTTTTGGCTGCTTCTTAGTCGCCTATTTTGTGGTGCCTGTCGTCGATGAGCTAATCGACTGTGACGTTTATTTTTTTCTTGCAACTGCAGCACAATTATGCCCTCAGCTGTGCAATGTGGCCGCTGCAGCAGAATCTGCCACTCACTTATCGTGGGGCAACGTGCAAAAATTTGAAAAATTCTTTGCGCTGCCATAAATGTATGCACACTGTACAGTAAGCCCTCCCACTGCTCGCTGATATTAAGGCAGAGTGTGAATCATGTCAACGGCGCCGCTGCACAAGCGACGCCTTTTAAATAGTTTTAGGAAATATAAAAACAAATTGACAGTTTAGCAATTGGCAGGCATATAAATGTGCTTAAGAATGTCTAATTTTAAATATTTTAAGCGAGCGAATTTTAAACACAAAACAAATGCCAAAATCGCAGGTAAAATTCCAACGATCAATTTCAACTCAAAGATCCCATTTTTAATAAGAATAATCATTACACAATAAAAGTACTCCACCTAAAAGATGCTGAAAATATTACAAGATTGTGAGCTGTAAAATATTTCTAAAAAATCTTAGGGTCTAGGGGTCCGAGACAGCGCTTAGCTGAGGGTTGCCCTCCTATGATCGCATGTCAGGCCAACCCACAGATCTATAGATGCGTATCGTAAAGAGGTTCGATGATCGCGCACACATGCATATTTGGACACAAAGATTCCCATATATTTTTGGGCACAAAAATGCACGAACCCTTTTTCCCATAAACAGGGGAAAAGAACTTACAAGTTTGAAGCGCCAAAAGATGCAGATACATGGACATGGGACATGAATATGAAACGCATATGCGGGCCAGTGTTATCCGATAGCGGAATGGTAGCAGCACGAAGGACGAGCAGGAAGATGAAGCTGAGTAACTACGCACAAAGGACACACAGCAGCAAGTAACCGAGTGTATGTGGCTGTTCGCTTGGAAACAAAGTTTCAGCTTCGGTTTGAAGATCGATCAGAGATTCGATATCGTTGCCGGGGGACGTGATCTAAACAATGGCCGCAGGACATGCAGGATATGACTAGGTCCCGAGGCAATGCCGAAGAAAACACGACAAATGTGTGCCTCGTGTTGGCGCATAAATTAGGCCATAAACAAGTAGCTGTAAAAATTAAGAAAAATATTCTCCACATCTAAATATAATCCACAACATTTTGGAGTGTGAAAATTTGTGCAACTGTTGCTCCAGCTGCAAGCCACGCTTCAGTGCCGCCCCTGCCCCCTGCCCCCTGCCCCCTGCACCCACTTGGAAGGAAGCGGCGCAACCGGAAAAACGCTCCAAAATCTCAGGATGCCATTGGGCCCAACCAATTGGATTTGTGGCAGACATAGTGGCGGCAGTTGGACTTGGATGGGGGGGGGCACAGGAACCGGCACAGGCACAGGCACGGCTGTGCGGCTCAATTACATTCTCGATTGAGCATGAAATTGTGATGCTTGATTTGATTTCACGTGACAAGGAAACGCAGCAAAGACAGGGACACGATGGCATTGTTCTACAAGGCTGCATAAATATATGTAGAAAAATGTATGTATTTATGTATGCATTTATGTATGTATCTGCCTCTTCTCGCGCAGCTCTGTGGCTCGTTTTCAGATTGGACACAGCCGCTAATTTGCTTTGGCGCGCGCGACACCTTTGTGGACTCGTGGAGCTTTGGCGACCCGTCATGGTCACTTCTTCGGGACAAGCAACACGCTGGACACCCAATATCCATCGCGGCAACTCTCTTTTCGTGAGTTTCCTGGAAGTATTATAGTAAATTTCCCGCATATCTTTCGTGTGTCATTGTCGCCGGGTTCGAGCTGCTCTTTCTCAGTCTTAGTCTCAGTCTCAGTCTCCAGCTCCGTTTCGGTTTCCGTCCATCGTCTCACTCCTCCTTCTCCTGCCAGATTATTAGTTATTATTTTTTGTCATAAATGCAAATTAGCTATGCGCAATTTGCATATTCTACATTAAAGCATGCTGTCTCGGCAAGGCTCACTCGTTGGTCATTGTAAAAGACCTCGTCTGGAGGCTGTAGCCTGTTCCCTAAGAGCCTGAAGCCGGATTGTAGTGAAAACTTTGTTTTATTTGGGGCTTAGTTTGACAAAGTCTTCTGTGTCGTTCGTTATTGTTATTGGAGTATGGAGTGAAGCTCATGACACTTTTGCTTTCTACATGCTTGCGAGTCCACACTTGTAGGAGTCCCTCTACTGCCCTTTTTCTTCACAATTTCTTACACAAAAATCTTCAAATCAAACAATTAATCAACCGTTTTGTATGCAAGAATATTCTTTCATTAATTTCATTCTTTCAGCATTATTGAATGAACGCAACAATTGTAGCGATTACAAATTATTGTAAAACCCCACAGAGGATTCTTTCTACTCCTTTCACGTTCAAAACGAACACAAAGCTCAATCGTACACCACACACAGATAATTTGAACCTAAATCCTTCTCAAATATGCTTGTAAAAACCCTAAACTTTGGTCTCAAATTCTGCTCTCTCGATAACAGCAACGATCCGCAGCGGCTGCCAGTAAAAAGTCACGAGGAGAGCCGTTGACTTATTTTTTATGGGAAACTTCAGTGGTTTCTGTAGAAAAGATTCTGTGGGCCAATGACCACAGCGACATGGAACTGGCATCGCTGGGGTTTCTTTTTTGAGCGCAATTCGATTTGCTGCTTTTCCCTTTTTTTCATAATTATAAAATTTATTTTTTGTGGCAGTGCCTTAATATTTGCATTTGGCAGTGAGGCGTTTCGGTTTATGGGTTCGTTTCTTTTTTTTCGGGGCTGTATTATTTCGTTTTTATTGTTATTTGTTGCTAAAGAATAGTTTTTGTGATTCTTCGTTGAGGGACTGGCACTGGCACTGGCACTGGCACTGAGAATCGGGACGTCGCAGAAGTAACCTCCGCCGACGGCATAACCTCGGGGCTGTGGGCCTCATATTACAGACTGCGACATGCCATGGCCCTCGATGACGACGACTCTGGACTCTGTGGCATCTTTCTTTGTTTGCTTGTACACATGTTTTTTTTTCAAATGCATTTTCCCTTGATCATTCGCCTACGACAATTCGCATTGAATTACACTTTGTACAATATAATTTTGATTTGTTTTGCTTTGTTGTGTGGTTCGGTGTTTGATGCCTCGAAGGAAGGTTACTTTGAAGGGCTTTTCCCTTCACTCACCTCTGGCAGCTATCCGTTTTGCCGCTGGTATTATTGCAGTGTGAAATAATCCCAATTGGAGTGGCCGCTGTAACGAGCGCGAGTGACCGAGGAATGCTAATTGTTGCTAGCACATTTTTGCCATTAAATCTGAGGAATATTATTTTGTTGTAAATGTTCCGCGGCCGAGCTGGTTTTATGGTGCGCCCGTAACTGGTCACGGCACTGGAGCAACAATTTGCAGCAACATATTCTCGTTTATCAATGTTAGACGCACAGTTCTACTTTGCACTAATATATTTGGCACTGACGAATAAAATGCTCCAGGATGGCTGTGGCACGAACGCGCAGCTGAAAAGCTGAACCATCGAGGCGGGCGGCGAACGAATGAGTGATACTCGCGGATGGACCAAGTGGTGTGGAGGCGCGACGAGTGCGCACGCACACTCACTCAAGCACACACACACAGACACAGACACACAGGCACAAATACCAAGGAGACGGAGCCGAATGGAAGTTGGTGGTGGCTGGTGGCTGGTGGCTGGTTGCTGGCTGAACATGCAACATTCCAGTCGCTTTCCAGCGCACGTTTGTGTGCGTGTATTAATGAATGAAACGCCAATGCCACCGGTCTGGTGACTCTCCGTCTCCTCCTCCTTCTCCTCCCTGCATGCATGTCCATGATGCACATCCATCCATCCCACCCTGCCACTCACGTTCTCAGTGTGCTGTTTGTTTGCGTCTGCCACACGTGAACGAGCGCTGCCACAAACGTGCCCCAGGACCCAGCAGAGACTGCGCATGCGTGCGGTGTGCCAAAAGGTATTAGGGCCAGAAATGCTATATCTAGACGTGTTTTACAAACTAACAAGATTTTTACTTCCGAGAACTCCTATTTACCTATTATCTAGCATACTACCAAGTGACCTCGTTACTGGAGACTAGAGCTCAAGATTTTAGCGTGTAAAAACATATTTTACGATCTGCTGGAACCTTTAAATATTTCAAAAGACAATTAAAATGTAGCTTTCTAGTTGAAGAAACTCCAAATCTGCATTTACCAAAAACTAAAATAAAATCTTAATATAATAATTATAATTATAGTTAGCCTTGGCGAGCTTCAACTATTCTTCAACCTATTGAAAACCCGATTCAACTTAAAGCTGAAGCCAATAAAGAACAAATCCTTAAACCCGTCAAACTTCCATGTCATCTACTGGTATAAGGGATGGTAAAGTTTATATATTTATATTTATATTTATTGTGCCTTTATCTACAATAAAGATTCTACATGGATACAATTAAATTGAGTTATAACTAAAGCAAGTTCCATCAGTGATGATGGAACAAAAACGTTTACACTTTTGGCAACCAATTAATTTTATTATTTACTTCTTGTTTGACAAAAGATATCAAAATCATACACAGTAATAAGGAAAAAAGAATGAACACAATTTGTAGCGGGAGACAATTTGTTAAGGCAATTTTATGGGTCAATTTGAACTCCAAGTAAGTGTTTAAGACTGCCATTAAAAGGAAACACAAAGAGGGGACCCACCTCGCCACCCCATTGAAAATTCCAATTAAATTCAACCACAAACACTTTTGTGTAAAATTGTTTAATATTATACATGGTATCGAAGTTTCATGTACATTCAAACAAATTGTATGGTAATGGGTTCTCCTTTTTTTATATACTTTATATACACATAAAATTGCCGTCTCAATGCATGCGAGTGAGGTCTTCCACGATTTTGATGACATCCTCCACATCTGCGCCCTTTCGTTCCCCGTTGAGTGTTAACTGAAAGTGGAAAAGGGAAAGCCATTAGTCTACCCATGCAGACAGGAATCTCTGCAAACGCACCTCTAAGCCCAGCACAGCATCTCGCATCTTGTCGCGACTCAAGTCCAAAAAGCTCTCTATCAGATCTCCATCGATGAATCCTTCGCTGGGCTCCACTTTGGTGTTGATTTGGAAATTGCGATAATACGTGTGCTCGATTTTGCCCACCGACTTGATAATCTTCTTCAGACGCTCCTCCAGCCCGTGCAGGAAGTCGTAAAAGTCCTGCGGTATTTGGGTGACAATGCCAATGGCGCCATTACACGTGCCATACAGCACACAGCCATTGATGGGCGTGGTGCGTTCGCCCACATTCTGCATGACCAACGAACCATGCCGGAAAACGTTCACCGTATCGCCGAGATGGAAACGCGCCAGCTCTGGCAACAGTTGACGTTCCTCATCGGTGGTGGCGGCACTGGAAAAGGGGGAACATTAGTTCGATTTTTTGTAGTTATAGTTCGTGGATCCCTTACCTATCCTTCTGGCAGACAAACAAATTGCCATTAGTCTCCGAGCCCAGAAACGTATCATCGTCGAGTATCTCCACGGCACGCATCCATTTAGGCTCGCAATCGCGTGCAATTTCCACAAATATGCCCTCCATTTGCTTGTGCTGCAGCAGCGTAATGGAGCGCATCAGATCACCCACCAGGATGAAGTCCCCCTTGGCCTTTAAATACAATGCCGCAATCATGTTCTGTATGTTGCACTCCATGCGCAGCTCCTTCTCATTGGTCCACTCGTACAGCCGCACAAAGCTGCCAATGCCGGCCAAGACTTTGCCATTGAACTCCACCAAAGCGTAGCATGTGCCATCCACTTTGGTCTCTGCCACTTGTGTCAGCTTGTTTTCGTGATAGTGGAATATAATAATGCGTCCCACCTTTGGCTCTGGCTCGTCGGGAATGACCAGCGAGGTGGCCACCACATAGTACGTGTTTGGATCGTCGCCCAGCTTGGCTGACATCAGTGAGGATATGGTCTCGGGGGCCACAAACTGATGTGCATGCAGCACCTCGAACGTATTCTGATCAATCACCAGCAGGTTGTGCACGTCAATCTCCTGGCCAACCTCCGCATTGGCTGCTGTGGAATTGTTGCCGCCCGGCTTGGGCAAGATATTCGAACTGCATGTAATATTCTGCGCCTGCGTGGAGGCGCTGTTGCGCAGCGGCTTGGCACCACCACGTCCGTGAACATCGATGCGCAGTGTGGACACGGCAAACGTTTGCGACGCCTCCTGATACGCAATGCGACGTGGACCCTCGCCCAGCGGCACAGTGCGGATGTGCAGCTTCTGAATCTCATCAATGGTGCCCAATATAACCGAGTTCTTCGTAGCCAGCGCCAAGCTGTCCGGGTAGGCCTGGGCATTCAGCGAGCACATGTGATTGACCTCCTTCAGATTGACATTGGAGAAGACGAGCTTGTGGTTTGATGAGTAGATGACCGTCGGACGATCGGAGCAGGCAAACACATTGGTCGTGGCAAACGATCGGAAAGTGCGCAACGTTGTGGGCTGAGTACCCAGCGTGACCTTCTTCTTGTCCGTCAGCTGCCCGGTGGCCTGGTCCATAATGAAGTAATACATCGAACCATCGCCCAAAGCGCAGAGCAAATAGTGAATGCCCTCGAAGGTGGTCATCAGTATGGAGCGGGGTATGATCTCTCCGCTCAGCTTCTCCGTGTAAATCGTCTCCAGATCGGGCAGCGACAGGATCACTGCGGATATATCTGTCCACAAGCCAACGGCTATCAAATCAGATTTGTTTTGCGTTTCATCCAAGGGAGTTATGTCCAAGCAGGCCACCTCATACGCGAGGGTCTTGCGCGCCTTCTCCACCAGCCGTCCATCCTCGATGATGATGTAGAAGATGTCGCGTGCCGAGGCCAGCACAATCTGTGTGCTGTTGCAAGAGACGACACCAATGGAGCGATCGCCCTCCGGTCGCCACTCGCAGATCAAAGCTTTTGTGGCACTCTTAACCAAACGCACGCTGTCCGAGGTGACTTGAATGAGCTGAAGGGAGAAGGAAATTCTTTATTAAAGAAGCTTTCAGAGGCGGAAATGAGTAAAGTCAAACCTGATCATGTTCCACATTGGCGCAGAGAAATGTTTGCAGATCGCTGGCAAAGCCGGGTATCTCCGTTTCCTCCACTTCCTCGCCCGACAATGTCAGAATCCTTGTGTGTCCCACAAAGGCCAATACCAGAGTATTCTCATATGGACTGTCGTCAATGCCCACCTTCAGGGACCACATGCCTTTGATGCCTGGCAAATCAATGCAGGCATGCTCCTGAATCCCTATGCCAATGCGAATGATGCGCAGAGAACCGTCCTTGAAGCTGCCAGAGCAAGTGATGATCTGACCCTGTCCCTGGCGATCCAAATCAACGACTGCAATGTCCAGAATGGGTGCAAGATTCGTGAAATTCTCCACTGGTATGACGTAGGAGCCTTCGATGGCCTCGGAGCTGAGGCGCACCAGCTGCGAGTCGCCATGGCGTGCGCCTATGTAGAGGAAACCATTGTCCAAGTATGTAATGCACTCTGGTATAGAGATTTCGCCGAGCTTCTCCACCTTGATGTCCTTGACAGTGACGCCCTTGCTCGTTTCGGATGTGCCCAGGAAGAGCATGTACAGCTGTCCGTCCATGTTGCCCAGCAAGTAACGCAGTCCCTTGCCATCCACACGCGCATAGCAGTTGATGGTGCTCTGGCGGAAGGTGAGCGGCGCCACGGCATGATAGTTGCTGCCATCGTGATAGACAATCGATTCGCGGCCTATGACAATCACACCTCCAATGGGTGACGGCACGGGTATGAGCATGGTGGCTTCCGTCTCCACATTGTCCTGCTTCCAGGCAATCTTCATGAATTCCTTCTCTCGCAGGTTAATCTCATGCGACTTGACGTGCCGTCCATCGTTGTCCTTGTGGATAACTATGACTGTGGGATTGAGGCAGCCGTGCAGGAACTCCACGTCGTACACGTTCAGCTCGTCCATTCTGCAGCAAAAGCAATAGCAAAACTCATACACAAATTCGTTGTTTTCCTATCATTAATGTTACCTCAAATTTGTGGCCTTTAGCTCACTGGCCTCCTTGTCCATGGGTATGATGGTGAACAGCCCCTGGTACAGGCACATGCCAATAACTCGTGCCTTGGGATCAATGGCAGCAATGACACCACCCTCCGAGGGTATGCCCGCCGAGTCGGAGACATTGCCATTTGCCTTGGTTATGACAGTGATGCTGTCGTTGACCATGCGCGCCTCCAGTATCATGACATTGTAGCGACGAGTCAGTATGAAGAGCAGATCCTTGTTGCTATCCGGCGGCCGGAAGTGGCGCATAACTGCAACAGTGCCATTTATGTTGATCTCCTTGAGCGGGCGCAGACCCTCCGGCGTGACGAGGTCAATCTCGACCTGGTTGTTGCGGGCAATAATCAGATTCAGGTCTGTGGGCGATGTAAAGTTGCCTGGAAGACAGAAGACGATGCTCAACAATTAAGATATCGATCCCATTATGTAGCTTGTGTAACATGCCGGCAAAACATGCATGTTCTGTTTCTGTTCCCGATGGGAGCCGAAACGAACGCAATTTGTCTCTCCCCCTCGCTTCCTCATACCGGTTAAACAGGCCACAACCGCTGTGGGCTTTTGCGCTGTCACCACGTAGTGATGCGACATTTTCTCTGAAGTTCCCGAAGTCCACCAAGTTGAGAGGCACACAAATAATGAAATTATCAAACACGCGTTTGCAGAAATGGAATTATGTTTGCCCAACGCGATACAAAATGTCTTGTGTTCGGCACCTTGGCGTTGGTTTACGTTTTCCCGTCATCTGGCAGCACCGCAAAGATCCAAAAATATCGTCGGCTACTTAATCGACTGTTTTTCCGACCATCGATTACAAAAACAACAGGAGAAATTATAGAATAATAATTTTTAAAGTTTTTTTGAAGGAAGATGAGAAACTGCAATAATGATTTTAATTAATTTAAAAATGTTTTACTTCTGTCGATAGATCGTTGACTTCAATCATCGATATAATCGATATCATCGATCGTGCATTGACGGAATATAAATATATATTTGATATATATTAATTTTTTTCATCATTATCCGGTGGTCCTAAGGGAAAAGAAAGGAGTAGCTACAATGTATAAACCGAAGTCTAGCCCCAATTATGTTGTGAAGATAGAAGAACTGCCACCCAAACCACTCCGAGCATATTATAACATTTCCTTATGTTTTCGTTCCCTCACCCTTTCAGAAAAACAATGGAATTTCTTTATCGCTTTTGTTGTGCCATTTTTCAAAATTTTCAATATTATCAATATTATCATACATTTACATACTGAAGACAAAGCTCCCGTGATTCCAGAGGGATGATTTGAATGAAAAATTCGAATACAAATTTGTAAAATATAAGCTCATAAAGTTTACAATCCAATAAAACGGAGTATCTATAATAAGCAAAATTGGTTCCTTAATCGGATTAAATTATTGTTTCAGCTTTGAAAGTCTTTGCAAGCTACTAATTTCAAATAGAAGATCAAAATCGATTTAATTTGATTTAAGACTACGGTATATTTACGGTATATTTTGAAGATGCAAGGTCTGTTTTGGTATATTTACGAGGCCCTGACGGTATATTTTATCGATAGTTCCGCGGTCACACTGTTAATGGCGACCGGACCGACGTGTTTGACATAGAAAATACAATTTTGCAGCTCAATTTCGAGAGACATTCGAATCACATAGAAGAGATATACAAACAAGTGCGTTTTATTTGTTAAACAGTGTGCCGCGTTTTTGTTTCTCCTCCCCCCAACCCCTGGAGAAGTGTTTCGTAAAGTGCCTAAAATTGCCTTCGTTGGCTCTCGAAGAACATGGCGAGACTGACAAAAGTCTATACCACTGATGACGATGATTCTGGTTATGTTGGTCGCAGGCATTTACCCTTGGTAGCAGGCGATAAACTAATGGTGAGTAGCAACCATTATATTATGCTTTGTCCGCACAGATTTTGTATATGTAAGGCGAAAAATGACTGGCAGCAGAACCCCTCACACTCACATGCACACACGCACAAACACACTCGCCTCACTCATGCCATGCATCTTGTCCAAAAACTTTCATAACACACGGGTATATGTACATGCATATGTATGTAAGTGACTGCCTGCATATGTGTTTGTCGTCGTCTCGTCTCACATCAGCTCGGAAATTGTAATTGTGCGTTTCGTTTATTAATTGAACTTGATCCATGATATTATTCTCCGTCAGCTGAGAGTGTGTGTGATTGGTATGGGCTAGAGAGCGAGAGCAAGAGGAGAGGCGCTTGGTCTCTTATTTCTGCACCTGCCACCCACCCGCACATCAGCAACTTCTCGCTGCTTCTCTTCTCCCTCTGTCGCCATGTTGTTTGAAAGTGCACACCAGCAGTGCAGCCAAGGAGAGACAGAGAGAGAGAGAGAGAGAGATGGTACGCTGCTGCTGAGTCGGCAACAACGGATGCACCCAAACAGGTTCCACTCTCGCTCAAACCGATCTAACCGTTCTTCTCTCGATGCTCTTCCAGATGCTAATGGACCTGAACAGCAAAGGACTCGTCATCGACAGCCCCCTGATCCGGGGTCGCGACCTGGAGGAGTTTTCTCGCAAATTCAGGCTGCTCACAGAGGACGAGCGTCGCCAGTCGCTGGAGATTGATAGCTCCAGCTTCATGGCGGTGCTAAATCAGTGTGTGCAGTGCGTAGGCTGTCGACGCCGGGTGGAGCGATTGTACTATCAGCTGACCGAGTCTGGACATCGCACGCTCGATCCTCTGGAGCTGCGAGACAAGGCCAAGCTGGGCATTGCCGAGGAGAAGCTAAAGACGCCGCAGGCCCTGGGCACGCTGCTCTATCGACATCACGAGGTACTCAACAATCTGCTCGATAGTAAATTGCGCAACAAGACGCGCTGTGTCCTCCATTCGCTGGACGCCTTCCGTGCCAAACCCTTCTCGGAGACCTGGCGAGAGGTGTGGTCCGCCATGAAGAGCAACTGCCGCAACGAGTTGACCATCATCGAGACCAAGGAGCTGCACGATGTCTTGGAGAACTATCTAAAGAAGCACAAGTTCTGCTCTGGCTGCCGTACAAAGGTGAGCATTAAATAGAGACACAGCTCAAGGATGTACCTCTACTGCTTTTCTCCTTTATTTTTGTAGATTGAACGCGCCTATAAAATTCTCATTGGTGAAATCTCGGCCAAGGAGAAGGGGTATGCTGCTCAGCTGTATGCGCACATACGCAAGTGTGTTCCCGACCAGCACATTCACGTGAATACGAATAAAATAGAGTTCCTCGATGCCCTGATCAAGCGTGCTGAGCCCGAGGTGAACGGCAGCTACTCGAAGTTGCGCGAACGCCACGCCAAGACGCTGGAGATCGCCCAGGAGGAGGTGCTCACCTGCGTGGGTATGATCATGTACGAGCGGCTGCGTCGCATTTACGTAAGTCTGCGCGAGGAGGAGCGCGCCTGCCAAGTGCTGGCTGCTGTGGGCGTGCACGCACTTTGTCGCAGCTTCGATACGTTTGTGGAGCAAAAGCAGGGCATCAGCAACTTGGAGCTGCTCTACCAGGAAATCAGTCGCGCCGAGAAGGCCAAGGAGCTCAAGCGGGAGCTGAAGAAGCTCAAGAAGAAGAAGAAGAAGGATGAGAAGAAGAACTTGCATCGCCAGTGCGAAGAAGAGAGTACGGAAGCGGACGCAGACGCTGATGTGGATGCAGATGCCGGCGAGTCGGATGACGAGGAAGACGATGTAGATGTGGATACGAATCTGGAGGAACATGAGGAGCTAAACGATGTAGGTGTCGACGATGGCATTGTCATGGAGGCGGTAACTCTCGAGCCCGAGCCAGAGCCAACGCCTCGCACCAATGACAAGCCAACGAAATCGAAAGCGAAGAAGCAATCGAAGAAGAAGAAGCAGAAGTCTGCCTCCAAAAAAGCCATCACGAAGCAACAGCCGAGACCTGCAGTCTCGGCTCCTCAGCACCTGGATGATGAGAACGAGCACTTGGATGTCGCCAGTTGCGTATCATCGAATGTTGCCAAGCTGCTGCCAAGCGGGGCTGGAAAATGTGACGAATGTTTGGCCCCCATGCCAAACTGTCCGTGCGATGTACGCGACTCTGGCTATGGCAGCGATCCCACGTCGCACATTAATTCCCGTACCTCCAGCGTGGTCTCGTCACCCGAGGGATCGGAGGTCTCGTGCTCAGACGGACTGTGTAACCACGATGGACCCCTGGATGAGGATCAGCAGAATGGCACGGATGTGGCAGCACGCAACCGCTTCGTCTCTGATATACTCTACTGCCCCGCTACGCAGTTAGAGCACAAGTTTTCATTGTTGCAGATGTGGGTGAGTTCGTTGATCATTGATTGTTGGCGCAGACACAACCAGAAAACTGCAAAAGGATTGCCTGAACCCTTCAACTGTTACAGTCATTTATTTATTTGCATTTTGTGTCTTTGCAGGACGACTTTGACGACTACGATAAGGACGATGAAAACTGTTACATTCCCGAAGAGGTGGTGCTGGCCTTCGAGTATCACCACGAGGAGGTGACCCAGCAGCGTCAGCAACTCCGTGCCACATTGCGCGCCAACTTTGAGCGCCTGTGCCTGCAGCGTGGTGTGCGTACAGAATATGCTGCCATCTCCTCAGTTGGCCATTAAATAATGCATTAAAAACCGTTGTAGTTATTCAGTCGAGCGATTTGCGATTTCTAAAAATCAGCACACGCATGCATTCAAATTACATATAATTTTTTGTTTGAAATAAATGAAGTATACAAGTTATGCTTATAAAGTTAAAATTACATTTTAAACTTAATCCGACACCCTCAGCAGTTGCGACATTCTTCGTGGAAGGGTTCGAGGGTGCGCAGATCCCGCCAAGTGGGCGGCAGACCGTTGGCGATGTACTTGCTGCAGCGCTTGCAGGGCTCGAGGAAGAGTTTTATGTGACTGTTTAGCCAGGTCACGTAGCTCTTCACCGCCAGGTCGGGCAGCGTGGGGGAGAAAAAGTGCAGCATGGCAGAGTGTGCGTGCTCCTGGACTTTGCGGAATACCTCGTAGCGGGACTCGGCCCACAGGTCATCCTGCTCGAGCGGTTCATCGTAGCCTTTGACCGTCACCCACTCAATTAGTACGCCCTTGAAGACAATGGCCGCCTTCAGCACATTGCTTATGGTGACAATCGCCACTGCATTGGACCCAAAGGGACGGAAGACTCTATAAGAGGTGTGCGGCGGGGTGTTGATTTCACTCAGCAGTTTGTCTATATGGCTGCGTGAACAAATATAATGGGAGATCAATGTCAGTCAGTGCGTAAATCCGGCTGGACGCCGCATACTTACTCCGGATCATTGTTGAACGAAGAGAACGGCAGGCGCGGTCGCTTCTGGGAGCAATAGTTGTATGACCGGCGCAGTGTATTCTGGTTGAGATTGTTGAAGGCCAGGAAGCTGTGATCGTGCACCTTGTCGATCCACTTGTAACTGTTGACGAGCTGAGGATACAGAGCCTGCCGGTCCTGAGATGTCTCCTGGGCGAGGTACGCTGTATTTCCCAGTGAGTAAGCCGTGGGTGGTACTTGCAGACCATTTATCAACTGCTCCACTTCACTGTAAGCCATTAATACACCATTTAAAATAATAACAAACTAATTTCCTTGATATTTCTCACCGCAATTGGGAATTTATGGCACCAAATTTCTCCTGGAAATCGTGGACAAATTTGTTGCGGCTTTCCTCCACTCCCTCGCCATCGGTGCCATCGGCCAGGTGCTCAAAGCACTGTCGCACATTCGAGCGTAGGTTCTTAACGGCCGTCAAAGCGCAATTTAACTTATCCATTTATAGCTTATTAATATAAAATATTATTTTTTTTTTTTTTTTTTTGGGGATTTATGTTACCGCTCTACCCTTGGGTAGAGGGGGATTATTTGGCCGCCCGCCTTTGCAAGGTGGAAATCGCCACGTCGAGATATGTAACTTGTTACAGTTTTACTCCAATTTTGTCGATGAACTCGATTAAAGTTTGGTACGAGCTGATTTGTTCTTTTTCGAAGAATTTATAGATATTATTATATTTCCTTAGCGATGGGTAGTTTAGTCTTGTTGCGTTGTACTTGGTACAATTAAAAATTATATGCGATGCGTCATCGATAGTATCGCAGGTATCACAAATGTTACTTGCGACTACGTGCATTTTGGCAAGTGTGTGCCTATCAAATGCACTGCCGCTAAGCAGTCTATTGATCCTTTTAGCGTCAATGGCTTTTACATTATTTCTATTTAGGAACCATGGTTTTGTTGAGGTAGTGGGAAAAAGTGAGCAGTATCCTCTGCGTTTAACGCTGGCAAACTCTGCATACTCTCTCTCCCATTCTTCTTTCAGTATTCGGTGTATCTCACATATTGCATCTTTAAGATTCCATTTAACGACTGTATATTTTCCCAGTCTGTGTGCTTCTTTGGCTGCTGAGTCTACTGCCGTGTTCTGAGGGATGTTGGCGTGGCCGGGTATAAAATGAATTTCTACCTTCCTTAGGTATTGGGCTTGACGGATCTTCTCCCTGATTTTATAAGCGATAAAATTATCNACCGCTCTACCCTTGGGTAGAGGGGGATTATTTGGCCGCCCGCCTTTGCAAGGTGGAAATCGCCACGTCGAGATATGTAACTTGTTACAGTTTTACTCCAATTTTGTCGATGAACTCGATTAAAGTTTGGTACGAGCTGATTTGTTCTTTTTCGAAGAATTTATAGATATTATTATATTTCCTTAGCGATGGGTAGTTTAGTCTTGTTGCGTTGTACTTGGTACAATTAAAAATTATATGCGATGCGTCATCGATAGTATCGCAGGTATCACAAATGTTACTTGCGACTACGTGCATTTTGGCAAGTGTGTGCCTATCAAATGCACTGCCGCTAAGCAGTCTATTGATCCTTTTAGCGTCAATGGCTTTTACATTATTTCTATTTAGGAACCATGGTTTTGTTGAGGTAGTGGGAAAAAGTGAGCAGTATCCTCTGCGTTTAACGCTGGCAAACTCTGCATACTCTCTCTCCCATTCTTCTTTCAGTATTCGGTGTATCTCACATATTGCATCTTTAAGATTCCATTTAACGACTGTATATTTTCCCAGTCTGTGTGCTTCTTTGGCTGCTGAGTCTACTGCCGTGTTCTGAGGGATGTTGGCGTGGCCGGGTATAAAATGAATTTCTACCTTCCTTAGGTATTGGGCTTGACGGATCTTCTCCCTGATTTTATAAGCGATAAAATTATCCTGAATGCTCCTTGCCAGTATTAGAGCCTTATAAAATATTAAGTTATAAACAAATTTTCAAGTCGTTCGATTTCTTTCTGTTCCCCTTATATCTGTTCCCATATATCGATAGCAATGTGTCTGTTGCTGCCGCCGATAATGGACTTACCTCACATTGCTATTCCAATCAAGCAGCAATTTTTATGGATGAAGCAATCACAGGTAAATTGATCTGTTAATTGTTATATGTTAATGCAATTTGGACTAGTTCTGTTGTAAAAATTGCCTTGTGCTTCCGATTTCAAGATCAGACTATCGCAGAAAAACATCGATACTCGCAACTATCCAGAATGAACAGTGAGTTGAGATTCTCGTCTATATCTTAATAGCTGTCAAATAAACTTTCAATAAAAGCAGTAAGAGAAAAATAGAATATATAAATTGTTCCGAATTCAGAAAAATAATTACAAAAATGTAAATATTAAAAGAGTAAATCGTGTATCGATATTTAAGATTTATTATATATTCCCATCCCTATTGCATACGAATTCATTAAAAACTTCAGCGGGTGCCGTTTCAACAAATTTGCAAGCAAGATTTCCACGACGAGATGGGCAACAAGTCATCACTGTTCCTGCGAAACGAGGAGATAGCGCAGATTCAGGAGGAAACTGGCTGTAAGTAAAACATATAAAACAGGAGGAACGAAGGCAACCTTGGTCGAGAAGTCATTAAGTCAAGGGGCAACAATTACTTTCCACACAAATACGCATTTGGCTGACTGGCTGACTAACTGACTGACTTGGCATCTGCCACAAATGTCGCACTCGAGTGTTAAAAGCTGTTCAAATTACTTGTACAAATATTTGGTTTGGCTGGCTGGAGTCGTAGGGTTCATGCCTTGGTGTGGGTGCTCTAAAAAACGTAAATACATATTTACATATGTATCCGCCTGCCTTATGCAAGCGCAATATGCACAGCCGTTTTCCAGCAATCAAATTTGCCATCAAAATTACACTTACACCTGTACGCGTCGAGTGACGTCATCGCTTCAGTCGCTCCCCTTGCAGGCGTCTGGGGTGCAAAAGTCGACGCTTATCTCTGGGCTATGCAATTATCGTGTGTCCGAGACCGTGTAAATATGATATGTATGAGGCGATAAGCTCAATTGAAATAGCCGCCACCTCGTCCGGCCTTGTATCTAGTGCTGTTTGAGCAGCTAGTATCAGTTGCCCCTCTGATAAGAGCTGATAATTCAGGTGAATTTTTATAACTACTAATTTCAACTCATTCGCAGTTACTCCCAATCAAATCGAGCGATTGTACTCGCGCTTCACGTCGTTGGATCGCAACGACTGTGGGACCCTCTCCCGCGAGGACTTGATGCGCATCCCAGAGCTGGCCATCAATCCGTTGTGCGAGCGCATCGTTCACTCGTTCTTTGCGGAGAGCACCGATGATCGTGTCAACTTTCGCCAGTTCATGAACGTGCTGGCCCACTTCCGGCCGCTGCGGGACAACAAGCAGAGCCAGCTGAATAGCCGCGAGGAGAAGCTGAAGTTCGCCTTCAAGATGTACGATCTCGATGATGATGGTGTGATTAGCCGGGACGAGCTGCTGTCCATTCTGCACATGATGGTGGGCGCCAACATTAGCCAGGACCAGCTGGTCAGCATTGCAGAGCGCACAATCCTAGAGGCAGATCTCTGCTGCCAGGGCAAGATTTCGTTCGAGGACTTTTGCAAGGCCCTCGACCGCACCGATGTCGACACTAAGATGTCCATAAGATTTCTCAATTGAGGCGTGATCTGTGCGGGATACAATCTTGCAGCAGAGACAGATAGAAAGAGTGGAAGAAGGAAGCTTCTTAGTCAGTGTGTACCAAATAGTTTAGGATGGAAAATGGAGTCTACCGAGAGGCATTACTTGTATTTAGTATTCGTTATGGAAGTGGCAGAACGGAGATGGTTGCGGTTTTTTGTTGCTAATCTTTAATCTTTCCCCTCCCGCACTTGAAATATGTTTCTTAATACTTTATTCCGCCGCTGTAAATTTAATGTAAGCTTTGTCTTTGGTTTTGCTTGCAAAATAAAGGCCCAAACCGCGTGTCATTTAAAATTGTTGAACATAATTTGAATAGTTTATTGTGTGTGGAATAGCTAATGTTGTGTTTATATCTGTGATTGCATTGCCTGGATCGAAGAGATAATCTTAGGTTGAAAGCTCCACGGGGAGAGTTCCTCCTCTCAGCAGCAGCGCGCACTTCAGGTGGTTGTGGAGACGGCCAGCTTCTTGAGATGCTCCATGAACAGCTGCAGCGAGACATCGTCTGTGAGCACCGGAGCTCCACCATCCTGTTGAGACATGCCCAAAAGCGAATTAGTCAAAATGATGGGCAGGGAACGGACGGGTGGGGAAATGACGAGCGAAACCAACACCAACAAACCCAACACCAAACACAAGAAGCAGCTTAGAAACTACAAAAGAAAGCGGATTCCCCGTGTGGAAACAGTGAACAAAAAAAAGATGTACTACCGTCGTCTGACCAATGGCCGGCTGCGCATGACAGGGATTACGGATACGGATACGAAAACGGAAACGTATGCAGAACGAATGAAAAAAAAAAACAAAAATAAAACAAGAATTTGTTTAAGAAACTGCTGCAAAGATCGCTCCAGTGTTGTGGCTCTTCCTGGCTGTGTGGAACTTACCTGCCCATAGGCATACATGTTGTTGTGCGTCTGCGATGGATTGACCTTCGAGAGCAGGAAGCGCGCCTGCGAGCCACCGTGCTCGGTGTCAATGTAACGCGGCATGGGGAAACGTGTCTGGAGGATCTCCTGCGCATCATCCACGGGCGCCTGCAGCAGCTGCTTAAAGTTCTCGTACTCCGGCATATCCTGGTACTTGAGAGCACGCCACTGGGCAATCGTTTCGCCGTGATAGATGAGTATCTGGAAGAACGTGTCCATGAGGAGAATGCGATCCGCTTGGATCGAGGCGGTGTCCAGCAGCACGGGCTCGGGTGGGCCGTTGAACGAATAGCTATAGAGTATCGGCTGTATCATGATCAACGACTGGGTGAGGTCCTCGCGCATCAGCATGTGTCGATAGAATGTGGTCTCGTCGGGTGAATTGTTGAAGACCTGCAGGAACTGCGAACGGCGCAGATGGTACATGAACTGTGGGAACAAACTGAAGTTCTGCGACAGCCGGAAGCTGTTCGGATCGTCCTTGGTGTACTCGCCGAACTTTTGGCACTGCAAGAGGAAAATACAATAGTTACAAAAAGAGCTCCTTTCGGGATACCAAATGGCGTGCACTTACCAAGCGAATTAGCTGACGATCAACCCAGCGCAGAATGTCAGGTCCCTCGTCTGTCTCGGCACGATAGACAACCATGCGTGCCATGAGCACGGCGGCAGCTTCCTGGTCAAAACCAGCACTGATATGATGCACATTTGTGGTGGCATCAGCCCAGCTGTAGGTAAAGGTAAACAAAGAAATTATAGACTGCTAGCTGCAGCACTCCCTTCACTCCCCTCACTCACTTTCTGGCCAATGTTGTGACGCGTATGCGCCGCTGTCCGCTCGGATGCTGATACTGTGTTATAAACTGTATGCAACCGCGTCCGCCCTGGGGTATGGGTGCGGCATGCTGGTTGACCACCTCAAAGAAGTAGGCCACCGTGGAGCTGGGATTCAGTGTGCACAGCTTCCACTGCACCGTGTTGCCCATGCCGATCTCCACATCCGACACCGACGGGCTCTTCACATTCAGCGACACACACGAGCCAATGCCTCCGGAGATCTTAAGCTCGCGCGAGCACTTCACTTCCAGCGTGGCATTGAATGCCATTTTCAGATCGTTGCGACTGTCGCGCGCAAATACGCGTTGGAATGTCTGCTTGAACAGCGACGAGTTGAACGAATCACCCATGACCATATGCCCGCCCGTGGAGTTGCACAGCTGCTTCATCTCCAGCAGGCCCGTCTGGTCGAGGGCGCACGAGTAAATGTCAACGCTGTGCCCATTGGTGGCGGCACGCAGCGCCAAAGCATCGAAATGCTTGATGGCCTTCTTCATGAACTTGACGTTGTCCTTGTGTATGTCATGGTGAGAGCGTATGGGGTGCTTTAGTTCGTCGTCGACCACTTGGCCGGGGCCCTGGGAGCAAGGACCACCGACGAAGGACATAATCCGACCACCCGTATTCGGGTAGGTGCACTCCAGCAGGCCGACTGCTATCGAAAGAGCAGCGCCCGTGGAGCGCAGGTAGCGCTTGCCCTGCGACACCGGCCAAGGGTCGCGCTGTAGCTCGCTCAGCAGATCACCCAGTGCCGCGTCGCACTGGCTGATCGGCTGCAGGAAACGATGTGCCGGCGGCACAGGTGCTCCAGCTGCCGGCGCATTTGGCCTCTGCTGGCCGGGCATGGCTTGGCCCGGCTGCTGTGGCCCCGGCGCAGCACCGCGTCCGATTCCGAGCATATCCTGCACCTGCTTGGCCGTCAAATCCTTGGTGCCGCGGAACACGTAGCTCTTGGAGCAGCCCTCAGCACCCAGTTCGTGCACTTGGATCATCTTGCCGAACGTAATCAGTCCGACCAGCGCATTGGGTGGCAGCAGACTGAGCGACATTTGCAGCGAATCTTTGAGTGCGTCCAGCTCCTCCTCGTCCATGCAGGTGTCGACGAGGAAAATGAAGACTGGCGGCATGGTTGGGGCCCTGGTAATGGTGTACTCAATGGTGCTGAATCCAGGAATCAGCTCAGCTGGCTGATGTTGCTCCGAAATGGCTGCATATTGAGGGGGGAACTATAAACAACGTCAGTCAGCGTCAAGGCAAAGTTCACAATGGACTGAATGGGATTGAGTCATTTTCTACTCACGGGATTGCGCTGGAAGCAAAAGTTGCACACCCACAACTTGGCACGGTAGTCCACCTGGCACAGTGGGTTGAGAATGGCACGGCAGTTGCTGCGTGTGCATAGAACTGGCTCATATTGTATAGGTGGCAAGTCGGGGCGCTCCTTGAGTGGCTGGTAAAGACACGCAAGTGGCACGACCAAGCGGCTGGCATCGATGCGACTCGAGGGCCACACATTCCACGTTAGACGGACTCCGTCGCGGTCCTCGTTCTGCTGGATGAACTCCTCGTAGGTAGTCATCGTGAAAAGCCTAAATTATCTATTAATATTTGATTAAATTGATACTAAGTTTGCTTGCTAATTGGAAAAATCGGTCGGCCAGCCACGTCACGGATTTGACAGCTAGTTGTATAGCAAGCAGCTTCGCGACGTATGCGCACAACTGCCAAACAAATGGAAATATCTCCTAATTTATCAATATTTAAACAAATTAACTCTTTTCACTAAACGGATTTATTTAAATTGAATAATTGCTATTTTTAGTTCAACTATCTTCCGAATTCCATGCAGCTTGAAGCAATTCCGTGAACTAGAATGGTAAGCGATACTATCGCTCGTGAAACGGTTATTTGTGCACTCAATTTAAAATTTACAAATGCAACTGCAATGTTTTATTAAATATAAACATTCAAAATTAATATAATTACAACTTTATTTCGGAATTGTTAGTTCAGAAATTACCATTTTAAAGTAATATTTAAGAAACACAATTAAATCTCAATTAAACAGAGCGATGTATCGATAAGCGAAAGTATCATCAATCCAAATGCAGCCCTGATGCAGCTGTTTACTCGTATGTATATGTGCATGTGTGTGTGTGTATTTTTTAGAGTTGAGTTGTTTCTAAGATGGCGACGAAAAAAACGCGTCTTATGTGAAATGCAAATGCAATCATAACAACTTCAGTTTTATGCTAATAAATGTGCCCTGACTTGAAACAAAACTATTGAAAAAGAGTGCTGAGCAAGTGTATTAAATTTTACATGTGAAAGTTTGGTGCGAAACTGTAGTGAAAATGGCCACAAATATGTATCGAGTCGGAGGTGAGAAAATTTTTTTCCGTACTCGCTTTTCTATCATCTTTCGTTATCGGCGCCGCCGTCTCACAGTTTCGCCTGCCCATCGTATGCATATGTGTGTGTGTGTGTTTTGTCTGAGGAGAGACTCCAGAGCAAGGAATAATGAAAGTGCATTTTAATTACAAAAAATTCTTGGCCTGATCTCCCTCTCATATCCATGTGTGTTATCAAAAGCAATGATAAACCCCTCTGGCCGCCAATAAGAACCTGCACTCTCAAAATATGTGGTTGGTTGTGTGCTAAATGCCGGAATGAGACGAGGCTGCTACAGCGTAGATGATGTGTCGAAATCAGCCATGAAACATTGGACAGCGGCGAGCCTAGGAAGCAGATAGTCAGACGGTGGAGTTGGTGGAGGGGGTTTGTGCATTGAACCAACAAAATTGTCGCAGCTGCAGCAAGTGTTTTAACATGTTCTGTTCCCCCCGATAAGCACTAGAGCTCGTTTGCTTGCTAGTGTGTGTGTGCGTTCGCGGTGTATGCTTTAGGGATGGGGTAATGATGGAAACGAAATGGAATTGCATTTGCCAAATTGTGATTTCTATCGGTGTGTGTGCATGTGTGTGTATATTTTCGTGTACTTGTATGGGTAAAAGTGTATCTCATTTTTGTGCGCCTCCATGCTTTGTTGTGTTTTCTTATGCTAATGAGCTTTTTCGGGTTTGGTTTGTTTCGGCTGAGCATCTTATGCTTTGGTTTGGGTTCTGAGCGAGTTGGTAGCGTTTTCCTCTGCTTCTCCTATCTTTACGCACTTTGCACGTTGCCCTATTGCCGGCTCCCTCACTCCTTTGCGATGACGTTGCCGCTCTCTCAATATGATATGCAAATGAACGGAAAAGCAAACGGCTAATTAACAGAATCAAAATAAATACCAAAACCATATTAACACCAATGGGGGAATACGTACATACAGATATATGATTTCTTTTCTGGCACTTTTCCTGCGGGCGATTACTCGGCCCGGCCCATTCGGCTCAGAATTTTGTCTCCATCAGCGCTTTTTGTTTGCCATTTTTAATGGCCACGCACACGCACACACGGAAACATGCGATACGCCAAGTATACATAGGTAAAAATGTATATGCGAACGCCACCACACTTTCTTTTTCATCTCTCTCCATCTTGAATGGCCAGCGAAATGTTACCAAATGCCTGCCCAATACAAGACAAGGCAATAAGCAACAGCATAGTTTCCTTTTAGTTATTTTCTTTTCATTGCAATATTCAGGGTATTTCTTTTCTTCTAACATTTTATTGCCGAGTGGTCAGCCCCAAGCAACGGTATTGTGTCTGTTTCTGCGACAGGTTCCAATGCAGCGATCACGATGTAGTTGTTCTTGTTGGTGTTTTTGCTTCTGCTGCTGCATTGCGCGATGGATGGATGGATGCCCACATTTGTATTTAATTGAGCAACGCAGCGAGCATACTAGTGACTGTATGCGTGTGTGTGTGTGGCCGTAATTAAGCGGCATGTCCACGTATTCATGTGTGCGTTTACCTGTGACGTATGTAATGCTTGCTAATGAATGGAGTTGCACTATGGAGCTCCCCTTCCCACCCAACCCTACATCATGCCATCATTCTTTACTCGACTCTATGTACAGTTGTGGTAATCCGCCGTTCATTTCGTTGCAGACTACGTGTACGTTGAGACAACGCCGAATAGTCCCTACCTGATACGTCGCATCGAGGAGCTGAACAAGAACCAAACCGGCAATGTGGAGGCGAAGGTCATGTGCTTTTACCGGCGTCGTGATCTGCCCAACCCACTGGTGCAGCTGGCCGACAAGCATCAACGTAAGTATCCGCCAGTTGCGGTCGCTTAAGAACCAAACCAAAAACGATTCTCTTTTTATTTTATTCGTATGATATTATTTTTTTGGCAACAAAGTGAGGTTAGGTTGCGAAAAGTCGTCGTCGTTGTCGTTGTTCGGTGTTGTTGTCGCGGCCTTCAAACAAGTTGAAAGCTAATACCTACCAAAAACAGATCCCTAGCACTAAGCACATTTTTACCACAAACACCAAAAAGCAGAGAGCTCCTGTGCCCAGAGCAGCACCCCACCACACCTCGGCAAGCGACCAGTGTGCAATGTGTCAAGGCATCCCCAGTCACCCAGCCACCCACATAGCCCCCCCGCCAAAGCCAAACATCAAGAGCAACAAGAACCGCACTGACAACAACTGTAAAGCACACACAAAAGTGAAGAGAAAACGGAATCCCCTAGCATCCGTCGCATCCGTAGTGTAGGAGCAGAGACCAGGCAGAGCCACATAAACATAATGTGTTGAGCTGCACTGTACCCCCATGTTGCTGTTGCCTCAGTTGCCTCTGTTACTGTTTTTGGTTGCTGCTAGGCGGCGCCAATGCCATCGCCAGCGTCAATGTGAATGTGATACTCTCGAGAGTAGTAGGTAGACTTGCTGTCTACCTCTGATGCTACAACATACAATCATACATACATACAAGTATGTATATGTATGTATGAATGATTCGGTGTCTCTCTGTGTATGTGTGTACGAAAATTTTCATGAGTGCTGTAGAAGAAGTGGGGGAAGGGTAAGTCGGATCAGGAGCCATACCCCAATGTGGCACACGCAGAGGCGCGCTTTGCATTCACGTATACATACACACAGGCAGGGTTCGCCTTCCCAACCAATCATTCCATGCCCCCGCCTCGCTCTTCTCTGTCTCTCTCCCTCTCTCCGCAGCCCCAAAAAAAGCATGCTGGACTCGACAAAATGGTAAGGGGATGGGTATGAAGTTGGGAGTTCGACCATTGCCGCCCGCTCGAACCCGTTACGTGACCCAACGAAAATGCGTTTTCCGTGAGGAAGGCAGCCCCCCGCCCCACGACATGCGCCGACAATGCCCATTAACGCAACCCCTTTTGCTCCCAACATGCGTCCCGCTGTCATCTTGTTTGTGCTGCCCAGTGATGTTGGAGTTGGGAGCTGGTAGCAGTAGCACGAGCGAGCGAGTTTTCAGTGCGTGCGCCGTGCGCTGCCTGTTGGCAGGCCACTCACTAATCAGCGAAAAATTAGCACAAAAATATAAAATTTTGAGCTCAGCACAAGTGTGCCGCTATTTCAACCCCGAAATTGAATTCTTTCCCTAACTACGACGCGTGCATACCCTGCAGTTGTCGAAGATATTCACGATGATAAGAGATTTCTAGTTCAAGGCAAGAGGGTATCCCCTTCAATTTTCGACTAGGCCTAATACATACATTTGGTTTGCTCAAGTGTTAACCACAAAGTCAATTGAAATACTCATAAACATGAGGCAGGGTACAGTGACAAAATCTCAAAAATAACCAAACGGCTTGCTTCCTTTCCCCTCCCATGCACCCGCCCACGCCAGGCAAACAACCACGCCCCACCCACTACAAGGCCTTTTGCTTGTAGGTGTCTGTTTGTCTGTGTGTGTTGTGTGTGTCCTATCTATGGCCGCCAAACAGCCACTCACCCCCCAGCCACCCTTGGCTGCTGTCGTTGTCTTCTACAAACACAAATACACAAAAAAGAACACCTACTACCTTACCCACCGCGTTCCTTGGCTCTTCCTGTAACTCCTAGCAATGCACCCACGCGCCTGTGTATCCCGTGTATATCTGTCCGTGTGCGTGGGGGTTGGGCTGCAACTCGACTTTTACCCCACGCCCTTTTCCTGCTGCTGGTCCTGCTCAGGTCTGTGATGGGTGGAGGTTAAGGTGAATCTTTTTTTATAATCAGCTCCCGCACAGTTTCAAGGAAATAAAATCCTTCAGGGTATCTAGTGCGTTTCAATCAGGCATTCGGCGAAGATAAGATTGCAGCAAAGAATTTATGGGTTATGAAGAAGAGACAAGGATCGGGTTTATTTTTCACGGAATTATTTACTCTCTGACCATATCTGGTTGCCCATGAAACTTCAAATGTTTATTCGTTCAGACACTTGAGAAGTTAAACATGAAATTAAATGGAAAAGGGAAATGGAAATTTCCAAATTTATACATTCTTGGAAAAAGCTAAAAAAAAAGTCAGATGTCAGAAAAATGTCTAATTACATACTGGAGAAATGATTTTGAGTGTTTTAAAGTGTGTGAATTATATTCGCTTAGTTTTTAACACTGATATTTAGTTTTAATCTCTGGCTCCAGTTTGTTTAATAATTGATTTACGAGCCGCATGCCTGTTTTTCGTGCCTTTTCAAATGTGTCAATATATTCGAAGAAATCTCGCTCCGCTGCCACAGTTTCTTAGCTCAGGTTGTCCTTCAATTGGGCTGCCTCATCGACAACACGATCGTTTGCCTGACCTATGTACCCAACGTTGTGTCCCAAGTAAACTGAATGAAGTCCCCTCCTTATTTCGCCCAAAGATGTTAGAAACTGGCAAAAATGATGCCTGTCTGAATCCGCCAATGAGACTGCGATAGTCTCAGTTGATTCGTTACTATCTGTATCACTGGGCACGCCATATGCCAGGCTCTGCGGATCAATTAGTTAGCTTATGCTTGAACATTTCTCACAGTAAAAGTACTCACCAGTAGGATAGTCAGGGCTATAACCACACAGAACTTCGTCTTGCAATGTTTCAAATGGAACTGCAATTTTATGATCAAGCTTCTAGGATTGTATAGAATTCGGAGTGTGGCATTTATCGCCGTGTTCTATAAATACTTACGACCATTGGGGTTCATCCAACTGGAGTCGGTTGCCGCAGAGATAACAGCCAAGAAAGTATAAGAAAAGAAAATACGAGGAATTTCTTTATAAATTTTCAATTTATAGAGCTATTTGTTTCGGTCCACAGATGTTGATTATATTCATTATAAATGACATACTAAAACCTTACTTAATTAGAGCAGCAATGTTATGTTATGTTATGCACGCGAACAGGCAACATTAAGAGAGTTTTCCCACCAGACGACGACTTCAAAATATGTGTCTAATTTTATATTTAAAAGCTAATCTCACTTTAATCAGCATAATTTTTATTAATTATTTAATACATATTTTAATTTATAACCATCATTGCTTGAACCATAAACATTTGTAAATAAACGTATTTCCCCCAAATTGCACAAAATAAATGGTTTAAAACAAAAAACAGTGGCCACAGCCGAGGACTCACCGCTGGCGACCAAGCTGAAGAAGACCTGGCTCCGCACACCCGTGGGCGAGGAGCAGGCCGCACAGGCTGTGCTCGATCCCTCAATAGGTACTACCACAAAAACCACAACAAATCACAACAGCAAAATGCTGTCTATCTCTATGAATTCATATTTGAAACATTATTTGTAGTTCGAACTCTCTTTTTGGGAATGCCAATTATTTGATTCGTTTTTTTCTCACTTAATCCTATCCCTTAAACCCTGATTTTATGTTTGTCCAAGCTCCTCCCTGCTATATTTATATTAGTTTAGTTGGTAATTAATGTTGTGTAGATCTCTCTTTGTCACTCTCTCTCTCTATCTGTCTTTCTTTTACTCTCTTCCTACTCCTACTCTTCCTGCAACTAATTGTTTTGGTCGCATACTTTTACAGCTGCCTTGGATGAGGAGCGTACAAGTCCGACGCAAGCGTCTGGCGGCGGCAGTGGAAGTGGCAGCACATCTGCAAACAGCAACAATGCCGGCAGCACCACCAGCAACACCAACACCAACAGCAACAACAATAATAATAATAACAACAGCAGCAGCAGTGGCAGCGGCGGCAGTGGAGGTGATGCGGAAAAAGGCGAGGCACTAACCAGCAAACAACGCTACCAGATAAAGCACCGCGAGCTGTTCCTCTCACGCCAAGTCGAATCGATACCCGCCACACAGATACGAGGCAAGTGCTCCGTGACGCTGCTCAACGAAACGGAGTCCCTGCAGAGTTATCTCAATAAAGACGTGAGTTGTACTTAGCAATCCGAGGAGACCTTCTTTTCTTTTTTACTAATATTGGTGTTCTTTTTGCCCTTGCAGGACACATTCTTCTATTGTCTGGTCTTTGATCCCAATCAGAAAACACTACTCGCCGACAAGGGCGAGATACGTGTCGGCAGTCGCTATCAGTGTGATATTCCCGCCAAGCTAAAAGACACCGTCACGGACGAGCGCAAGCTGGAGGAGCTCGAGTCGCTGGTATGGACGCCGGAGCATACACTGACAGATCGCAAGATCGATCAGTTCCTTGTCGTTTCGCGCTCCATTGGCACCTTTGCACGCGCCCTCGACTGCAGCAGTTCTGTGAAGCAGCCCTCGTTGCATATGTCGGCAGCGGCAGCCAGTCGGGACATCACATTGGTAAGCCTAAAAACTAAATCCGATCTCCGCTGGTATTGATTTTCATCTCTCTTTTTAGTTTCACGCCATGAACATTCTGCACAAGCACGACTATTCGATTGAGGAGGCCATGTCCTCGCTAGTTCCTTCCACTGGACCGGTGCTCTGTCGCGATGAAATCGAAGACTGGAGCGCCTCGGAGGCAAATCTCTTCGAGGAAGCGCTGGACAAATATGGCAAAGACTTTAATGACATTCGACAAGATTTCGTAAGTGAATTAATGAAAGTTTTTTTCAATGATCAACGCTCTATAATCCGTTATTTCAAAACTTTTGCAGCTGCCTTGGAAAACGCTGAAGCAAATCATCGAGTACTACTACATGTGGAAGACCACCGATCGTTATGTGCAGCAGAAGCGTGTGAAGGCTGTCGAGGCGGAGCTGAAGCTCAAGCAGGTCTACATACCGCAATACAATAATAATGGTGGCAAGGGTGGCGGCAATGGCGCCTCTGTCAAGGCGGGTGGTGGGGGCATTTACAATGGCACCACCAACGGGGGCACCGATCTCTCAAGCAACGGCAAACCCTGCGAATCATGCGGAACAACTAAATCATCACAGGTAAAAAACAGCATGAAAAACTGGTCAAACAATGCTCTAATCTCTGCCCGTTTCTTCTCTCAGTGGAATTCATTTAGCACTGGTCACATTACGAGTCGTCTCTGCCAAAGCTGTTGGGAGTACTGGCGGCGTTATGGCAGTATGAAGTCAGCGAATAAGGGCGATGCCAGCGGCGATAGTGATGCAAAGAAGAAGGCCTCGGCAGCGACGACTCCCACTGCTACTGCTGCCGCTTCGGCAACAACACCCACAGCAGTAGTCGACCTCAACGATGATGAGAAAATTAGTGATCTAACCAATCGTCAGTTGCATCGGTAAGTGCCCCTACCAAGTGACCTAAAATTCTTTAAATCTCACCATAAATCCTATCTGGCAGATGTTCAATTGTCAATTGCGGCAAGGAGTTCAAGCTGAAGACCCACCTGGCACGTCATTATGCGCAAGCCCACGGCATTGCCATCAGCTCTGGCTCACCGCGGCCCATCATGAAGACGCGCACTGCCTTTTACTTACACACCAATCCCATGACGCGTGTGGCGCGCGTTATCTGCCGCAGCATTGTCAAACCGAAGAAAGCGGCGCGACAAAGCGCCTACGCCATCAATGGGCTGCTGGTTAAGCAAGAATGTAAGTCCTATAATATATATGGTTACTCAAACGTTTGCTAAACGTATTCTTCCCCCTAGTTACGAATCGTATTAGCGGCAAATCACAGGCGGAGATCAAGAAGTTGCTATTGCTCAAGCCCAAGGATCGTGGCAGTGTCACTAAAATTGCCAATCGACTGGGTGCGCCTGGCAGCGGCCCACACGAGTGGCTGGTGCTGACGCCCAAGGATAAAATGCCGCTGCCCGCTGTCGTCTCATTCCCCAAGCCGCCCAAAGCAGCGGATGGCAGTTTAGTCTACGATCGTGTGCCCAACAAATCACCCGATATTGTGGCCGTACCAGCGGAGAAAGAACTAACTATAATTCCAACGCAAGCAACATCAACGATACGAAAGCGTGCGCATGAGGACCAGCAGCTAAATGGCACTGAAGGTGTGTAAACAATAATTATTAACAAATACATTTAATATTATAATTATTTTTAGTAACTATAGTGCCCAGTGGACCGCCTGCAAAGAGGCCAAACAAAGATCCTATGCCCTCGCATTGTCCCAGTCCCGAACAGTTTGCGGCCATGATGGCAGCATCGGGACAACCGCTCTCCAGGCATCATGTGAGTGACACTTAAATATGCTTGATCATAAGCAGATTGATTAATGTTTCCCTTTATTATGTGCAGCTCAATGGCAAACAGAAGATTGCGCAAATGGCACGTGGCGGCAATGGACGCAAGCAAGTCATCAGTTGGATGGATGCGCCTGACGATGTTTACTTTAGGGCCAACGACACACACAAGTGAGTGGAAAGCAGCCAAAAGCAGTTCATAAATAAAAGTAATGCCTCCAATGCTTGATTCTACTTTACAGAAAAGCGCGAAAAATACTCTCTGCCGTGGATCTACGCCGTGCGGCGCGCAAACCATGGCGCACACTGCCCATTAAGCCTCTGGCTACCGAGCCAAGTAGCAGGCCCATTGAATCACAAATCGTCATACTGGACTGACCGTCGCCGGCACATACAACAGGAGCATCATCAGCAGCAGTAGCAGCAGCGGCAACCAAGTTGTTATCGTCTTCAGCAAACAGCAGATACGAGCAACATCCTCCATTTCCATATACCATGGATGCATTGCTTAACTAGTGACCATTCTCCGATTTAACTGGCTTGCCATGTACATACAACATACAACATATATACACAAAACACCCCACGCCCCCGACCCCCGCATGCATACGATAGTACAGACAGACAGACATCCCGCATTCAAGTAAGGATCAGGCAGAAGTTACAGCATTCATCCCTGTATGACTTGGGATTGGTATTGGTAGCGAAACCGATAACAAAAACCACTTTATTAGCGCTTAAATAGATGTCTTTTTAAAAAACAAAAACAAATAGTAAGATAGTAAGTGTTAAGGTCTGTAATAGCAGTAAACCAGGACAGAACGCGAACAAGGATAAACAAAACAAAAAAACCATAACAAAAATATTTATAAATATTTTATATATTTTTAAATTTAAAAATCTCAGCATACCGAATACCGCAATATACACCACACACACAAACCAACCAACTCAAAAGATTGTCCTTGTTTAGTAATGACAGCGTGTGTTCCTCTTTCTTAAAGGAATCAATCCCTTGCATGGTTTCATTCTTGAATATATGTCTATATGCATGTGCATGTGTGTATATGTCATGTATGCAAGGTCCCGCTACATTTATATGTATGTTTTTTCGGTCAAAACGCGCTTGGAATTTCCACTCTTTACACCTAACAAACCCAATCTTCCCTCCCCCCTAGCTAAGAACCAGATACGTAAATGAAATTGAAAGGCCTACCCGTAATTTTAAAAATATTTTTCAGTCCAAATTTGAGTACGGGAATTGTTTTGAATGCTTTAAAATTGAAGAATGGGAAGAAACCTTGTTAAAATTTTAGTGTGACAGTGACAAAAATGCTACAAAACATATTGATTTATGCTGTAACTAAACAACGGAATACTTGAGTAACAATTGTACAGAAAAAGAGTTTAACGATAAAATTCGAATAACAAAAATAATGTATTTTCATAATTTATATAAACGAAAAATTCAGTACTTTAAAGAGCGATACAGTAGTAGGATCCAATGTGAATTTACTAGCAAGGAGAAACTATAAGGAGGTCTCGTCGGTAATACTAAGAAATTCGGGCGAGTAAAAGGGCTCTCGCTGTAAGTGTGAGGGCAACGACAATGGAGTGTGCTGATTAATCATTTGAAGGCAATGTGAAAAAACATAATAATTGTTACATAATTTAATTTTTAATAGTTTGCTTCATGATAGTAGTCTGTGTTTTGAAGAAATAAACATTTTGCGTCGACAAGCAAACGAGCACTGATTGCAAGAAAAAGCAGCCAGTAACTCTGCCACCGACGAGGCCTCCTTATAGTTTCTTCATGGTCTCGCCCTCAGTGCGTGGCGAATAAGAGTTTGCTGCTTCCCACAGCGGACAATGTCACCTTGCAAGTAAATTCACATTGGTAGGACCCCCAAACACCCAGAAACACAGACACAGCCACACACTCACACACATCTAGAATATTATTTACGCATATAAATCCATAAGAAACTAAGCTGAAAATACATATAGAAATGTATGGCATGGCATAATAAGGAGAAAAAACAGTTTCAAAATAAAAAACTAGCCTAGAGCAGGGGCAAGTGGAAAAAAAAGAACCAGCAAATCATAAACAGCAAAAAACAAAACATTTAATAAATGATTATAAAGAAAAATGTCGATTGTAAGCCCAATATACTTTTAACTTAACATCTTAAGCAATTTTGTAAAATAAAACACTTCAAATTAAAATCGTTAGTTAAGTGAAAGGAGAAGACGGAGACGATGGATCGCGACGTGTTGCAACTAAATACAGTCCCCGAAGCAAAAAACATGACCACAGCTAAAGCCGCGCGAATGCAAAACAAAAGAAACCTTTTAGTTGTTTTTTATTTCCCATGCAAAATACACCACACACACACACAAACATTTGAATCCAAGATCAGAAGAAGAACAACTGCAACCAGCAACAGATTTAAAACAAACAAAAAGAGAGACAAGCAACAGAAGCAAATCAAACAGAGCTATATACATAATTATATACCTATATATATATATATTATATACAGATATACAGTGTAACAGTAACATACGCGCATTGGATAATACATTTTTACAGAGCAGAAAGATTGGTAGAGAGAGAGAAAGTTCTTCGACGAAGACGAAGGGACAGGGCGCGTGTGACAAGAAGCAACCGAAAAAGTTTTCCAAATAAAGTTTTAAAACTTAACATTTTTCCTAAAAATATGCAAAACATTCAGGATTTTTATTTCCATGGATAACAATAATCTAAAAACAACTTAAATGTCCTCCGCTCTACTCTTCGGAGTAGCTGGCAATGCACAGGGAGGCATTGGTGCCGCCAAAGCCAAAGGAATTCTTCAGAGCTACGCGACGTCCCTGCCCCTCGGACCATTTGCAAGCTTTGGTCACCACATTTACATCCACATTCAGCTGCTCAATGTTGATGGAAGGCGGCAGGGTGTTCTCCGAGCAAGCATGCACCACGAAGAGCGCTTCCAGATTGCCGGAGGAGCCCAGCAGGTGTCCGTGTGCACCCTTGGTCGAGGATACTTGAACCTGCGGCGTGTGATCGCCAAACACTCGTCGAATGGCATGCGATTCGATGCGATCGCCAGTGGGCGTGGATGTGGCATGGGCGTTCACGTAACTGACTTCCTCGGGGCTGACACCGGCATCTTTGAGGGCTCGCTGCATGGCCAGTGTGGCTCCAGATCCATCCTCGCTGGGGGATGTGATGTGGTGTGCATCGCCAGAAAGACCATAGCCCAGCAGCTCCGCTAGAATGGGGGCGCCACGGGCGCGTGCGTGCTCAAGTTCCTCCAGAAGCAGCACAGCTGCACCCTCGCCCATCACAAAGCCATCACGCGCCTTGTCAAAAGGTCGCGAGGCCACGGCTGGGTTATCATTAAATGCTGTACTCAGGGCGCGCAATCTGCAGAAGCCAGCTATAGACAGGGGGTCGATGCAAGCCTCTCCGCTGCCCGCCAGCATCGCATCTGCATCTCCGTTGCGTATGAATCGCATGGCATCGCCCAGGGCATGGGCTCCAGTGGCACACGCAGTTGAAACGGAGTGGTTGGGCCCGCGCAGACCGTGCCGCATGCTGATGTGGCCACACGCCATGCTGGGCAGCAGTCTGGGCACAAAGAAGGGACTGACACGATTGTAGCCACGTTGCAGCTGGTTCCAGGTGTTGTAAACCTCCGTCAGATCGAACATTCCCATTCCGACACAGACCCCAATGCGTTCCCGCTGCTCCTCACTCAGCTCCTTGGGCTTGAGATTGCCCGAGGCCAGAGCTTCCTCAGCTGCCAGCACAGCCAGTTGCGTGGCAGGGCTCATTAGCTTGATGTCTGTTTTGCTCAGATGCGTGTCCAGCTGCAAGTTTTCCCTTGAAATTTGTGCGGCAACCTGACACGGCAGGCCCTTGAACTGAGGCCCCAGGTGAGAGATTGCCGACTCCCCAGCCAGCACACGTTGCCAGGAGTCCTGCACATTGTTGCCCAGTGGCGTTACGGCTCCGCTTCCAGTGATCACCACTCGTCGTCTTCCAGCTTGTGTCGAGGAATTGCGCACCAGAGGATAAAATAACTTGGAGCCCCGTAAAAAGCGCATTTCGGTGCAGGCGTAACTGAAACCGGTTGATTGTATTATATCGATAGTTGACTATCGATTTCTCTACTTCCAATTGGAAACAGCTGTGCCAGAGCGGGTAGATTGCAAAGTTCGGAAATTATTGTGCTTCCAAATGCAATTGCAATCAAACATATTAATTAAACAAACTTATTACGAAAATGAAAAATGCAAAAGAAAAACTAATAAAATATGTGTATACACATAAAATCTCTTATATAAGGGATTTAATATATATGTTTAAAAACAAAAATATGAAATTCTCCGTTGGGGGTATATGATTCTTATCTAAATTGGTGGAATATTTGTTTAAATTTGTGGATTCAATCTATTCAACTTGAGCACTAAGAGAGAGAAAGTGAGTCTTATCTGTACACACGAACAGCTAACAACAAGTTGTTTTGATACGATTGCCGGACATCGTACATCTACATATGTACATACGTACATATACCGGTTCCGTACTTAAAAGAGAGCACCAACTATAAAAGCTTCGCTCAACATCTGACGACTCTCATTTTCGTTTCGCTGTTCTTTGCTTCCACTCCATAACAAACTTGCCAAGCAATGTCTAAGAATTGTAAGGAAACTACGTCTCGCCCCTCGACATCTTTAACAAAAGAAAGTAAAGAATAATGTTGATAATTGAATCGTTTTTTCTGCAGCATGCTGTCGCGGACCCGGTTACGCAACGCCGTTGGATGCCATGAAGAGCGGGCCTCGGGAGAAGCTCCTCTACACGGTGACGGTGCAGCCCAACTTGGATGAACCCCACGGCGACTATCTGTCAACAATCGACGTGGACCCCGAGAGCCCCACCTACTGTCAGGTGGGTCATGAAAATAAACAGTCTTCGCTGGCACTTGGCTTAATGAAATGATAATCTTGTTCCATAGATAATTCATCGCACGTTTACGAATCGGAAGGGGGACGAGCTCCATCACTCTGGTTGGAATGCTTGCTCGAGCTGCTACTATGTGGATCAGAACGCAAAAAGCATTCCAAAGCGGGACAGGCTGGTGCTGCCCGCAATAAACTCGGACTTTATCTATATACTCGATGTGGTCAAGGATCCGCGCAAGCCTGAAATCATAAAGGTTATCGATGGGGATGTGCTGAAGAGCCACAATGTGACGGGACCCCATACGACGCACTGCCTGGCCAATGGCAATATAATGATATCTGTGATGGGCGACGCACAGGGCAATGCCAAGGGTGATTTTATCCTCTTTGATTCCGACTTTAATTGCATTGGCACCTGGACTAAGGGGGAAAAGAAGGCCCTGTGTGGCTATGATTTCTGGTATCAGCCGCACTTTGATGTAATGGTTGCCTCCGAGTGGGGAGCGCCCAACAAGTTTCGACGGTAAGTAATGTAAGGGTTTGCCGGATTAATAATTATAATTTTTTTACCCCTTTTGCAGTGGCTGGCAGAGCGGGGATCTTGATGATATGACCCAGTACGGCTGCCGGATCAACTTTTATAAATGGTCCACGCAAACATTGTACCAAACCATAGACTTGGGTACGGATGGCATAACGCCACTGGAGATTCGCTTTCTGCATGACCCAAAACGTGCCGAAGGTTTCGTTGGCTGTGCCCTGAACGCCAAGGTGTTCTACTTCAAGAAGAAGTCTGATTCCGATGAGTTTGAGGCCAAAAAGGTGATTGACATTCCGGGCAAGCTGGTGGACACGGGCAGTGGCACTGCCGAGAATATGGGTGGCATGATTTCAGATATTATCATATCCCTGGATGACAAATTCCTGTACGTAAACTGCTGGCGCCACGGTGATGTGCGGCAGTACGACATTAGTGATCCTGAAAACCCAAAGCTGACGGGACAGCTTTTCTTAGGCGGTGCCATTTGCAGCGATCTACCCAACGTTGTTGTCAAGGAGGATAAAGAATTGAAGGTGAGTTTAAAATATGAAAAATTGTAGTTGTTCTAAATCTTACCTCACAGGAGCGACCGCCAGCACGGTATGTCAAAGGTCACCGCCTGGAAGGTGGCCCACAAATGATGCAACTCTCACTGGACGGCAAGCGTTTGTATGTCTCAACATCCCTCTACTCACCCTGGGACAAGCAGGTGAGAGCTGCCATTAAGCCGTAGGTTCTTAAATCCTAAGTCAACAATTCCCTTTGCAGTTCTATCCCCAAATGGTGTCCAAGGGCGGTCATATTTGCCTGATTGATGTGGACACCGTGAATGGCGGCATCTCGTTGAATGAGAACTTTTTCGTGGACTTTGCGAACGAGCCTTATGGCCCTGGTCTGCCACATGAAATGCGTTATCCTGGTGGCGACTGCACTTCGGACATTTGGCTGGCCAACGATGCGTAAAGAGTTTAAGTTTCTTCATGATTAATTATTTTATTGAAAATAATGAATGTTTTGGAGATATCTCGGGCTGGCGATATCTCTGCGTTTCGCATCGCTGTTTTTTGCACATTAAAACCCAAAAGCAAGTTTTGTGACTAATTTATGCGTATAATTTATGATAAGATGTGTATTCAAACTAGTGGAATCCGGGACGTTTATGTGGTAATAACTTTCCAGCTGCTGTACAAAAGTTTCCCACTACTAAGATCTAAAACCAAAATGATGTTTTTGGAGACCTATTGACCGTTGCTAGTATGACATTTTCACTGGGCAGCTTCATCAGATTCAGCAAACGTTGGCCACTGCAAAGGGAGAAGGCATCTAAACATGTACTCATAACAGGCATTATTAAAATTCACTCACTTATGATCGCAGGTGCTGTCTATAAAGTCCTTGGCCAGCCCGTTGAGTATATTTTCGTGAAAAAAGAAAATGTGCACCAAATAGGCCAAACTGCAGGGTATTAACAGCTTGGCCCAGGGTATTTGCTGCAGCAAAGCCAGCAGTTTGTCTTCGCCAGTGTCACGTGCGCAGAACTGCTGCCAGAGCACCTGACACGCTGTGACCGCGGCAAAGCTCATGAAGGTCATGCGATTGAGCAGGGCAAAAGATGCGCCACTGACAAATGCCGCCACAGCGTTGGAGTGTCGCAGCTGCAGCTTCATTTTCGGCAATAGAAATTGCAGAAACTGGAATGAAAGGCTGATTAACTTCTGCTACAGTTGAGGTGCAAAACATACTTGAAAGAGTCCAATGTAGCTGACCAAGAATCGTGTTGACTGCAGTCGCATCTGCTTGAGATTATGTCGCATTAGGGCGTGCCCCAAGTCCAATGCAAGACCAATGCCCAAATAAGTTTGAAGCTGCTTTGCACTCCGTCTGAGCCGCTTGGCCACTGGCCATTTGTTGTGATCCTCAGGCAGGGGCGTGGGCTTGATGAACCAAAAGCCAGAATACTTTCGCGCCTGCTGATAGTGCAGCACCGCCAGGGAGCTCAGCATAAAAACCAACGTCTGACTATAACGGGAATGCACCAGACCAACGTCCAAGTGACGGAGAAGGCTCTCCAGGGCCTGCAATTTTATTTTAGAGAGAGAGAGAGCAAAAAGCTTCTAAGTGAGCTTTTTCTCGAGCTGCAGATTTTTGCTTGCAGGCTTGACCAGCCTGAGGTCAGAATGAGAAAGACATAGCTGAAAAGCTCAAAGCTCACGACTTATTGTATGTGTAAATTGATATTGCAAGCATCACACATACACGTGCTGCAATCGTTCCAGAAACCCCGCAAACACTCACCGCATGTGTAATGCCAGTCACAAAGTAGAGCAGCACTTGCGTTGGCATCCACCAGCTGAGCTGAGAGGCCAGCCAGCAGGACAAATACGGAGTACAGATGAACACAAAGCGACCGTGAAGACGCCGCGACACGCACATGAAGTAAAATGTGAATGCATTGATGCAGGCAGCAAAGCTCACGGACTGCACATAATTCTTAACTATGTGGATGAGTGTTCTGCTGGAACGCGCCTTGCGCCACTGCAAGAGCAATGGCAGCTGAAAGGAACAGCAAGATAATTTGAGCTTTCATCGTGGAGGGGGAGGAACTTTATGCAGAAACACACCAGCAACAAGGGCGCGTAATATTTCGCACTGGACACATAATTGCGATAGATATTCCAGAGCAACGCATGTGTGCAGCTTTGTCCTGGGCGGCTGTGCAGGACGCAGCAACGCATACGATTCAGGGGCTTCTCCAACAGTTTGCTCGGCGCGACTGCCATAGCGCGGCATTGGCGATGACTTTCCGGGACGCACTGAGGCGGCACAACCAAGCTATGCCAAGCCATGGCTTGGTTTCAGGTCATAGGTTAATATGCAAAGCATTTGGAAAAGTGTATTTAAACGGAACGTACATATAACAAGAGTGTAATCGATTCAACACAGTCGTGCCAGACGCTTTCTTATGTTTAATGCGCTGCGGAGGAAATTAAACTTTAATTTGAGCAGCCGACGACAAATCCATTTGACTTACTAGTTAGCTGTCGTGCTGTCAATGATGACGCCGGAGAGTCCGCTCACACGCTGGCACTGCAGCACGTAGTTATGTATGAGGTATGCCAGTGCAACAGGAAACGCTAGATCGCCAAAGCCGAATGCCTGAGGCTTCTTTGTAACCTTCTTCGTGTCGCGGTGGCTGGCCCACAGTGTGCGAATGGCCTCCAGCAGCGCGTAACTTAAGATTGTTGGCTTTGGATAGAGCAAATAGCTAAGGCCCGCAAGGAAGGATGCCGGGGGATGCTTGAAGGAGTCTCTGACCACTGGAATGTGTCGCGGGACCATAGAGCTGTGTTGCAAGTAGCAGTGTACCGCCTGTAAGATTTGGAACTCTTGATTGTAATGCTTCAACAAACCTTTGTCTTACCCTATAGATGCCCACGTAGCAGCCCAGCCAGGCAGTTGATTGCAGACTCAGATGCCTCAAGTGCCAATCCCCAGCCTTGGTGCAGCTAACAATCGCCTTGAAGAGATCCAAAAGGAGTCCAATCAGCAGATAGCTGCGTATGCCGCGCACTATGTGGAGGGAGCAGTTGTGACCCACAGTGGCTGGGGCGTCGGGCGTTAGAAACCAAAAGCCATTGTGCCCACAGCGTCTCCGCCTGCCCTCCAGTATGACGGCGCTGCAGCACATGAAGATCAGCGTTTGCAGTGGCAGGGAGTGGGTAACAGCTCTGGCCAAAGGATTGGAATGCAGCAGAAGACTCTCAATGAGCTGGCAATGGAGGATACAAATCAGGGAAGGAACTCAAAGCAACGCCCTGACTGACTCACAGACTGAAAGATGGCCGTGTGCTGGAGCTGCCTCACGCGGCTGGGCAAGCAGGCACAGAAGCTGCCACCAATGGCAGCTGGCAGCAAGAGCAATGTGTACAGATGGAATTTGCCCAGCAGATTGCTGCAAAGCATCAGAATAGTGAGGAACTCCGAATCGTTTATCAAACCTTACCGCAGACAGCACATGGAGATGGATATTAGACTGGCATTCAGCACGCCGCCGACTACCAGCTGGACGTAGTACCACAATGCATCCAGCAGCAAGTTGGGTGACGAGCCACCACCCAAACGTATGCCATTTTTGCCCAAATGCAGCAACACCACTGGCAGATAATACTTCGCGTTGGACCAGGCAAAGCGCCAGAGATTCTCGAGTGCAGCGCGCCGGCAGCTACGCGGATGGAGCAGCTCTTGGCAGCTGCGCCAGCAAAGGTTCGCCTCGAATGACTTGCTCAGCGCAGCCATAGAAAAAAACGACTACTGGCAGAGTGGTGTGCCGAACTAGAGTGCCTAAAGTGTGTTAATTTATTGCCGGAATAGCTCGTACATAATCAATCAAAAGTTTGTTTTAAATTGCAGAATTTGTTTCCCCTTAGTCAACCTCTTCCACGGTGGGTCCGCTGCCGTTGCCAGTCTGCTGTTTGCCTTTCTGTCCGCCGGCATGCAGCTTGGACATGATGGGACTGCACACGCGTTGGGAGTCCTTCAAATGATGCTCATACTCCTCCTTCTCGGCCAGCGTGTTCTTGTCCAGCCAGGCGGACTCCGTGGCGCACTTCTCCCGCACCGTGCTGCGATCGGCATCGGTGAGGACTTTAGAGGCTGCCTCCTCCACTGCCTGCTTGCAGCCGTAGATGTAACCCTCCAGAGTGTTGCGCGCCAGCACACGTTCGCGCTGCTGCTCGTCCTCGTCCTTGTACTTCTCGGCATCGGAGAGCATGCGATCGATCTCGGCCTTGGACAAGCGTCCCTTGTCATTGGTGATGGTGATCTTCTCGGACCGCCCGGTGCTGTGATCCTTGGCGGCCACATTCAGAATGCCATCGGCATTCAGATCAAATGTCACATCAATCTGTGGCACGCCACGAGGAGCTGGGGGTATGCCAGTCAGATTGAAGGTGCCCAAAAGATTGTTATCCTTCGTCATGGCCCGTTCGCCCTCGAACACTTGGATGGTCACCGCGTTCTGGTTGTCGCTGTACGTGGTGAAGGTCTGCTGCTGCTTGCAGGGAATCCGAGCATTACGCTCCACCAGCTTCGTCATCACGCCGCCAGCCGTCTCAATGCCCAGCGAGAGGGGCGCGACGTCCACCAGCAGCAGATCCTGAATCTTGGAGCTGCCAACGCCCGTGAGGATGGCAGCCTGCACGGCAGCGCCATAGGCCACCGCCTCATCGGGATTGATGGACAGATTCAACTGCTTGCCACCGAACAGGTCCTGCAACAGGCGCTGTATCTTGGGAATACGCGTGGAGCCGCCCACCAGCACCACATCGTGGATGGCCTTCTTGTCCATTTTGGCATCGCTCAGCGCACGCTCCACCGGCTGCATGGTGGACCGGAATAGATCCATGTTTAGCTCCTCGAAGCGAGCACGCGAAATCTTCGAATAGAAATCAATGCCCTCGTGCAGTGCATCAATCTCCAGGGTGGCCTCCGTGCTGGAGGAGAGCGTCCGCTTGGCCCGCTCACAGGCAGTGCGCAGGCGTCGCAGGGCGCGAACATTGCCCTTGATGTCGCTCTTGTGTTTGCGCTTAAACTCCTCCATGAAGTGATTGACCAGACGATTGTCAAAGTCCTCGCCACCCAGATGAGTGTCGCCGGCCGTGGCCTTGACCTCAAACAGTGAACCCTCATCGATGGTCAGGATGGAGACGTCAAAGGTGCCGCCGCCCAAATCGAATATGAGCACATTCCGCTCCCCCTTTAGATT